AAGACCTGTGGCATGTTCTAATACACTCACTTTCTGTATATACCCAACTTGTCAAAGCTTCACAGGTAACACCTTTTCATCCATCCTGGTTTAGAAGTGAAAATAAAGTCTTCTCCCCTCAATTGCAGTAATCTGCAGACAGCAGCCTTTTCAAGCCTTTCACAGCAGCTCCTAACTCCGATTTAGCAGCAGGGTATTTTTCAGGGAAAGCAGAAGCTCATTCTTCCCAGCAGAGAGGCAGGAGTTCACTGAGTCAGCCACATCACCTGAACTGAATCACTGCTGTGGGAAGGGGATCACTGCACGGCCCAGCCCTGCATCTGTTGGGGGCAACTCCCACTCACAGGGGGCACAAACCCCCTTCTACCTGCAAGTGTTACCTGAGGACACAATTTCAGTAGTAATTTTGTGTGTGGGGAGATATTAATATCCAGTTCCTCATCTGAAGAGATGATATAAAAAATGGGAAATGTTTTACAGTAGTCCAAACCAGTGCTTTTTGTTGCCATAATAAGGAAAAGACTTGGGTGTAGAATAATTCTAACACACCCTTGGCAAAACTATGACCTAAGTCTGATAAGGTACCAAACTGAAACTAAAGACTGTACTGAAGGACACTTACCTAAAGTCATGATCAATAAACACACTCCTTTAAGTAAGGCCACAATTTTGATACTATTTCAAAAACCACACAGAACAGGACCGGGCTTATTGAACTAGATCAACTGGAATAGTCCTGTCAAATAAAAAGGAAACCTGAGAAAAACAGAAATTAAACTCCAAATGGAGACACTGCTGCTGGCATAACAAAATGGGAATGTGAAGGTACACAGCCTGAACAAGTTCAATAATTAGACAGTTCTCAGGAATAAGCAGCAATGTTTCTGACAGGGATGACTCCACCCTCAAGTGCCTCTTTTAAAATAATCTGATTAACCATGTAAGCTCCAATATGGGTCACTACCAGAAATAGTGAAGGACAGACTTGGACAAAGTCTGGCTGCCATTCTATAAAACAGAAGAGCTATCAAGTAAAATCTATCCTGCTTTAATTTCCAGCAGTGTTCAGTGTCACAGGTAGGCTATCCCTAGGATGCTGCAGCTAATACTGAACTTTGACAGTTCTACAAACTCATATTGCAGAGACAATCAGCAGTGAGAAATGCCAGGGCAGACTTCTAATTAAAATGTGAATTTTAGTCTAGGAAACTTGTGGAGACCCATACAGTTCCTAAGCAGATATTCTCCCTCACCTCTCCAGAAGAATGTTCCCTCTTCCCTCTGCCTTCACTCTCTCGACTGGAAAACAGAGAGAGATCCATTGGGAATATCAGAACAACTTAGTTATCACATCTCTTTTCAGACTTAAATTCCTTCCCTATCAGCCATTTCTCCATCCAGTAACTTCAGCATCTCTACTCACTGCTAGACAGTTTTCATTTTAGGTGAAATACTGAGGTATCTAAACAGAACCATGAAGAAGAAAAGTCAAGTTATGAAGCTTTGTGCTTACTCTTTCCCTTGACAGGATTCTTGAGAGTCCAGACACACAATCCACTGCATGCTTTTGCTGAGTAAGGGAAATACCCCAGCTGGATCAGTATTGTGGGGGTTAAAGTGGTTAGAAGAAGCAAACAGCTAAAGTTACATATTTGCTCTGCAAATCCAGAGCACTAAGATAGCAGCTTCTGACGCAGAAGAATGAGTATCCCCAAGAAAACATATTTACCAACAACTTTACAGCCTTACCAGCTTCTCCATGCTACTGCTATTTGAAGTCCTAGTTCCCACAGTACCCACAGAATCACTAAAGCACAGTAAACAAGACTTATGCTTCTCTAGTTTACAGTACCTACAAAAAACCCCCAGTATCTGGAGGCAATTAGGAGTCAGAGCCAAGAGACTCCATTCAGTGGGGAGGGGGAGAAAAAAACCCAATCACTTTTGCCACACTTAGAATTCTAACATTTGTGTCAAAAAACTAGGACAGAAGCCCAGAGATGAGCTTTCTCTTCTTGGCTCTGTCACCTGCTGCCCATTTGTTTCAAGGGAGCAACTTCTGTATCTCAGGTTGCCCTCTGCCAGTTATTTTTAACACCTGCCTCAAAGAGCCCCAAATTAGTCAACACTGGAAAGCACCAAGCAGCTCACAGACAACCGAGAAACAGAAGTTTCAAGAAACTCAGACATGGCCTTTCATCAAAGCAGAAGTCTCAGCTCTAAGGTTCAAAACCAACACTTTTCCTGTTCCTTTTGCAAGTTCATATGCCACAATGCTAATGGCACGTGAAAGACCTCCTGACCTTTGGGGCAAGTGGCTGTAATAACAGATTGCAGACACTGTTCCCTCACTAATACACAAATATGACAACAGTGTTTGTTTCTGGCTTGCTCAGTCACTCCTCAACCAGAGGCCTACAGGTAAGTGGGCATTTTCTTTCAAGTTAAGAATCGCTATCAAAACTAGATACAACAGCAGCAGTCTCAGAAGTAGATAAACACCACAGCACAAATCCCAGACACAACTTCAGGTCTTACTACTGGCTTCCCTGTTAGCTGTCACTTGACAAAGAAGAAATAACCCATCAAATTCAGCTGGTAACCAAGGGTGCACAATCATCAAACCTTTCACTTCACTGTTTAGAGGGAGATTTATGAAACAGATCATGTTGTGTGGAAAGAAAAGGCCAAACTTCTCAGTAACGCACCACTTCCTACTGAATATAAAATATTTATGGGAAGTCATGCAGTCCATCATCTGATGGGTCATGTCTGAAAACAAGAACACCGAAGCATCTTGTTTATTTTACCATAAAAAACATCTTATGTCTTACAAGTATCCAGTAAAACAAACACCTGTCCCACGACCGCAGAACTGACTTCTCATGACAGTTAACTGTGAAACCTGAAAGGTCTGCTTAACAAGTCCCCTTTAACTTAATAAAGTTACTTTAAGGTAAGTGAGAATCTGATCAGGATTATTACTTGATTTGCCTGGTTTGCATGCACATTTTCACCTTTCAGTACTGAAATGTTCACACTTACATGAATGTTTCTACCCCTATGCTATTTGAAACTTTCATCCAAAGACATAAAAGCAATACCTTCCTCAAACCCAAACATGCAGGTTTCCCCCCCCAAGAGTTTCAGCTGAATAAGGTATATAAATTCACTTATAACTACAAACAACTCAATAAAAATGAACCTCCAGCACTTTCCTGTACATGAGTCACAGACGCCAATATACTCAAGTCTTTTGGCAAGTTTAGGCCTTAAACTTCTAGAAAAACCAGAGTATCTTTACCATGTCACAACAACACGGAATATTTTATTCAGCTTCTCTTCCACTCATTTAAAACAAAGCCCAGCGAGTTTAAGGGAAGAAAAAAACCCCAAAAACACAAACACAGCAACAAGAAGACCCAAAGTCCTCTGGAGGTATCAGTCCCTCAGGTTCGGGGCTGCTCGTGCCCCCTCACAAGTTTGAGGGCACCGTTAGGGTAACGCAGCCCCTCGGCGGCAGAGCAGGGCCAGTGTCACCCCTCGCGGGGGTCAGTGCCACCCCTCACACCCCCGCCGTCCCCGGGCCCCCCGGGCCGCCCCGCCCGGCCAGGCCGGGCCGTGTGGCGCACTCGGAGCCCCGCCCGCCCCCGCCGGGGCTCGGGGGAAACGCTGCCGGCGCCCCGCGAGGGACGGGGCGGCAGCGGGGCCCGGCAGCTCTGCCCGTCACCCCCCGGGGCTCGGAGCCCCTTTGTTCCGGCCCCAGGCCCCGCGTCCTGCCCCCGCACCCGGATCTCCCGGAGGATCCCCCGGAGGAGAGGCCGGGGCGGCCCGGCCGCTGTAACTTTTGTTGCGGTGGCGGCGGGGAGGACGCTCGGAGCCCCGCGGGAGCGGCCCCGGCCCCCCCCGTGCTGAGTCACCCCCGCGGGGCTGCGCCCCCTCCCCGCGCCCCGCGGACAATGGCGAGGGCGGGCCGTGCCCGGCCCTGCCCGCCCCGCGCGGCCCCCGCACCGTGATGTTGCAGTGGATGGTGAGCGGCGGCGGCGGCTGCGGGCTGGAGCCCGGCGGCGGCGGCAGCAGCACGAACTGGCAGTGGAGCTCGTCCAGCTTCCAGGAGACGATGCGGAAGCGCTCGTGGTCCTTGTCGAAGATGGACTCGAGGAACTTCAGCTCGGCCTTGAGCCCTGACACCGACATCCTGGCCTCATCTCCGGGCCCGGGCCTGCGCTGCCGCCGCCTCCCTCCGCCTGGGCCGGCCCGACCCTGGCCCCGGCCGCGCCTGCGGGGCGGAAGATGGCGGGGCCGGGGCAGCCCCAGCCGGCGGGGCACGGCGGAGCTCCCTTTGTACCGGCCTCCCGCGCCCGCTCGCTCGCTTAAAAGGGCAACAGCGGAGCGCGTTCCCCTTCCCTCCGCTCCCTCCCGGCGGGCCGGGCCAGCCGCGCCACCGCCCCGCCCTCGCCCTGCCCTCCGCCCATAGCCCGGCCCCGCGCCCGGGACACGCGCACGGGCCGCGCTCCGCCCCCGGCCCCGCCCGCCCTGCCCCGCACCGCGGGCACCGCTCTGTCCTGCCCTCCCACCGCCCGCCCTGACCCGCACCGCGGGCACCGCTCTGTCCTGCCCTCCCACCGCCCGCCCTGACCCGCACCGCGGGCACCGCTCTGTCCTGCCCTCCCACCGCCCAGCCTGCCGCGGGGATCGCCGTCCTGCTTCCCCATTGCACTTTTATTTTGCTGAGGAAAAAACTGCAGCTTGGGTTTGCCCTTGTCATCCCGGAGCCCTGCCAGTCCTCCAGCGCTCCTCGGGGTCAGTCGACATAAGAGAGGAATTCCTGTCCTGATAGTTCTGGCAGATCCATAAAAATAAAATCTGGTTTTGGTCGTTGCAGGCTGGAAATCAGCAAGATAGAGGCCAAGGAAAATTGTTACAGTTCCATTGAAGCTCCTCTCTAATTGTTTGTACAACATTTTATCCCAACACATCATAAAGCATGAAAGTAAAGTGAATACTCGCTACATTCAGAGATCAAGAGATGCTGCCTCTTCCTTACACTGGAAACACCATTTCTGCACCTTTATTTGTCCCTTCCCATCTTGGTTTTGCCAATAGATTGTTGTCACCTCTTTGAGAACATGGATCAGCTCTCACATGGCATAAAGTGTGATACAAGCAACGATGTTGCACCATGTCCGTCTTGTTTCCCAACCAGCTTTTAATTAATGCAGTACACACATAAACCTGAAATAGAGAATTGCCTTTTTTAATTGATATTTTATATAAATCTTTAACTCCAGACAAACTGGCAGCATTTCACAAACCACAAGCTGAATCTTGTCAAGCAGTGAGAACTCTAATCTTGATCCAGAGAAACAGTTATGCACATGCCCAACTCCAAGCAGATGGAAGTCTTACTGATTTGTGGGCTTGAAATCCTATCCTTCCAGCAAAGAGAGCTGCAAAGAACACCCTTTGCTACAAAAGGAGTCAGGAAGGATTGACACTGGTTAGATGCTCTGAATGAAAGATACCAGAAAGTCCACAGGTTTTTTTTAGGTATCATTTTAAATTCTGATTATGCAGTGTTTGCAACTCAGCTTTGCTAGATGGGCTGAACTGTGTGTTGCTTAGACTGTACAGCCTGCAAAGTGAAGACAGAATGGATATGACTGTTGTCTGTCGATACATCAACAGGCAGGGCCAAGAACTTTGAGGGGTAAGGGGAGATTTAGCATAGGGGCAAACTATCTATAAATAAACGGCAGAAGATGACTATACCTATTAGAAAAGGGAGGGCCTGGAAGAACCTCTCTATGGGAACACCAGAGACAAAACCAAACAAAGCAGACTTTGTCAGGCGTTTCATGATGAGATGCATGAAACAGCAGAGGAATGAATTCGGTGACTCAGCCCTCTTTCCCTCGTACGATGGGATTTCAGCCTGGAACGCCCCACTGCAGCTTCAGGTGGGAAGGCTTGGCAAGTTCAAACTGCACCTTTTGTCGTACCTTACCATGCCTCCATCACTGTCTCTGGTCTTCCATCCTCCTTGGCTCCTCATCTCTCTTCCCTCTCCTCTGCCTCTCCATTGACTGTGACAGGACATGTTTTTGGCAGCCGTGCAGCTGAGAGGTGCTGGCTGAGGGGATGCCCCGCCTGCACTCGCTGGCAAGCTGGTGGAAGCCATGGGAACCTCTCTCAGCACCCACTGATCAAACAGTTTCCTGAGCATCTGGCAGGCCAAACAAATTGTTTGATTGGCCGAGTGTGTCCTGCAAGCCATATATTATTTATGTCTGGTCTACAACTTTCCCCGGCTCCTTCAGTCTGCCTTTTTGTTGCAGGCTTCAAGAAGCAACATGCAGCTGCACAGCCACCACTCCTCTGAATTCTGCTGCACTTCTCTGTATTTAGTAGGCATTGTGCAAGCTGCAACGTCGCCTGTGAATTAGTTTCTGTGATAAGCCCTTGAGAACACACTGGGCCTGTCTCCTCTCTGGAATTCAGAGGCCGCTCCAGAGGTGTAAAGAGCTGTTTGTCATGTCTGACTCATTCCTGTTTCGTTCTTCAGGGACTTGCCATGGGACTTTGACATGAATCTCACCTTGGTCATAAGATGACTCAGGAAATCCTGAATTTCTCGAAGACCAAAATGATTGCACACAGGGGAGGACCTGACAGCTCAAGGTAATAAAGGAAATGAATCTTGGTAAAGACCCTTGGGAGCACTGTATCAGATTCCAGTAGTTACAGATGCTCTTAAGTTCCCTTAATCTATATGGCCTGTGAGCACCATTTTTTTTCTACCTTTCTTCCTGCATTTACATCTTCTGATGAGAAGATCTCTGAGAGTTGCAACAAAAAAACCCCAGCAGATTCCTCATTGCATTCTTGGGTGGAACTGGCAAGGAACAAGGAGGCAAACAGTTTAGACCAAAGTTGTCTTTCCCATTAGCTTTTAGTGCCAGCCCTGTCTCCAAGAGATCAGGTGGGCATGTCCCTGGTGAGACACAAAGCCAGCAGCAAGGGACAAAGGGAACTGAAGGAAAGATGAGCTCAGGATGACCCACTAAGAAGGACGTGAACTGAAATGTAGGATGAATGGGCTTTGATGAAGAGTTGTTAGGGGCTTAAAGAAAGGCTTCTTAAGAGCACAGATGAATATCAGTTTATATTAGTCCTTTTCTTCCTGTGAATGCCTTTTCTAGGTCTGCTGTATTTCCAGCTCTAGCCTGAGTGAAGCTCCTGTTCATTCCAGTTGAGTGTTTGTGCCTAGCAGTGGGTTGATTTGTTTCTCTGAGAATGGTTTACGGGTTTGGTTTTGACCTCACTTCTCTCATTTACAGCCTTGCCCTTGGAAAGGCTCTTTCTGTTTCTGATGGCGCTTTCCAGGCACCGAAGAAGGAACTGCCATTTCAGGAATAGGGAAGGCCCAGATCTTTTGTAACCCTAAAGCTCGTCAGACAGAGAAAGTAAAGGGTAAAGTTAATGAGCTGGGTGGGAGGAAGTGTAAATTGATTTTAATGATAGATGATGCAGTTTGATAATAGCTGATCCCGGGGTAGAACAGACACTTGAACTTTTTCACAGGTAGCAGCAGAACCTGAGAGTAGAAAAGACAAATAATTCCTAACACCCACAAAGAGAAGGATAAGACAGGAACCTTACCTGAACCCTTGGGCAAAGGCAGAAAGATTTAAGAGGGTCCTGCTTTACCAAGATACAAGTCAAGCTGTCTTGCTTGCCAAAGCCAGGCTTTCACATCATCTTCTGAGCTCACAGCACCAAAGTCATTGCTTCAATAACGAAGTCACCCTCAAAGCATTTGAGAAAAAACATACATCAGTGCATAAAAGCTGATGGAATGGCTGGACAATGCAGTTTCAAGAAGCATGGTATGCAGTGGGCATGGGATTGCTTAGTTCCTCAGCCACCTATACTTTTAAAGGCTTTAACATTTAAGGAATGGCATTTCAAAACCAATCTATCCTAGGGCAGCTTTGGACAGACAGGGATATTGTTGCCAAGATGTTCAGGGGTAGGTGTCAAGGAGATGTCTGCAGGCACTCAAATACTATGGCCATGGATTTAACATAAAAAAAAAATAAAAAAAAAGAAATGTAGCATGATTTTACCCAGGATGGTCAGAGAGCAGTTTTCAGCCACAGTTCTCCCGAGTCCATCCCTGTGGCTCTCAGCAACTGAGTAAAGTAGGTCCCTTCTTTAGAGTGTTTTTTCGTAGCCACTGAGGAGTGTTTGTAATACTATAAAGGAAAACAGCAATAACCTGTTGGTGAAAATTTCATTACTGTTTGTGGATTTGTAGTTCTGGCTATACTTATATATATGACTGAAAAGTGTGTATTTCTGAGCAGCCAAAAGGTGAATGGTGTCTGCAAAGCAAGGGCAAAGGTGTGTTTTTTCTATATGAAAGTTGTGAGAATTAATTTATTAGAAGAAAGGTGCCACAGGAGAGCAAAGCCATGTTAATCACGGTCTTGCAATGCTGCAGGTGGGGATTAGAATCCACTCTACAAACACATCAGAAACCAAACTCCCTGTGCAAATGCACAATGAGGGAATATTCCTGGTGCTCTCCTTTATGGCTCACACAGCTTCTTAAAACCAGATGAAAAACACACCTCTGAAAGCAATAAGGAGCCATACAGCCATATCTGAGGCACTCCATTTAATAAAATAACACGGGCTAGACAAAAAAGGAAAATGTGGTATCATTTTTTTGAGCCCAGCTGGGCAAGGGAAGAGGGAACATCATGGAGCTGTTCAGAGAGTAACAACACGCCTTCCCTGGACTCTTTAGGACTTGCAATCTTTCCTTGGGGTCCACAGAGTATAAGCCTTATAGGGCTCAGCAAGCTTATCTCCCCTTGCCTTCATAGAAGCTTAAAAGGGATGTACAGGAGCAGAGGTCAGGTCCAGGTTCAGTCCTGCTAAACACATTTCTGGCTGGAGGGGGAGGCAGGGAAATGCGCAGATCCTCAGGTCAAGTGCTCACAGTGCTGAGATGCAATCTTAACCACAGCTGAATACACAGCCCCTTCATCTCCCTTCTCATTTCTTATTTGGATAGGCAGTGCAGTAGTTAACTTTGTCTATATTTAAAATATCAGCACAAGGCATCTGAGTTGGCAGGCACTGAGATGAACTGGGCAGGTCGGAGGCATTGTTTCAGGTTCTGCAAGCACAGGCAGAAATCACCACATCCCTTAGCATGGAAAACACAAATCAGATGCATCTCAGCAACCATCCAGGGCTTCTCATTTAGTCTAATTTATCTCTTTTTGTAGGTAAGTTTAGATTTTGGGAAAGAAAGCGGTGCCTGTGACAGCACTGTCCCTGTTCAAACCCTCAACACACTCTGGTCCTGCACAAACACTACCAGGCACAGGATCACACCAAACCAGGCACTGGATCCCACCAAACCAGGCACAAGATGCAGCCTCACCTTATATGTGGGGAAAGTCAGACTGGTGAGGTAGATCAGTGGTTTTCCATAATTTCCTGATTTGGAGGTCATAAGTGTTCACAAGTCAAGATCCACCAAGCCCTGGTATGGGATTTTTTTTACATACTCTGCATCTAGTAACTTTTAAATACAGAAAATTGAGTTTGGTAGATACAAGACTGGGGAAAAAAAGGTGGTGAAGTACATCTGGAAAACTAACCCATGTATCTTTATGGACAAAAGAAGAACAGAAAATATAAGACCTTTTTTCCATTACAAAGATGACTTGAAGTCATATTTTCTCAGCATGACTGAGAAGAAGTCACAGAAAACAGCAGTCTCAGACTCAAATGCAAAACCAAATCTCAGAAAAGAATGACCCCAGAAATTACCATTCTGTAAATCTGACTCTTTTCCTGCTAGAAGCAAATTCTAAGCACAAAAAGCTGCTAAAACAGATGAAGGATAACAGACTCCTTATAAACCCAGAGTTTATAAGGAAGGGAACCTCCTATAGACTTACAACACCAGTGAGTAAAAGGGAAGTAACAGAACCAATATACTTGGTTTTAAACAAACATTTGAAAGACTGCATCACAAAAGTCTGAATATAACATTAATTCACACCTCTTTTGACATAACAGCACCCACATAACTTGAGAACTGGCTGAAAAATTGTGAACAAGGAATAAAAATAGCAAATTACTGAGCAGGAAAAGATACTTAATATGTTTAAAATGGATCATGGTAGTGCTGTGTTAGAGTTGAGATCAAGACTTTCCCTGTGATTTAGAAGAGCCTGTAATTGATGAAATTATCTGATGACAGAGAGAGACATTTTGAATAGCAATGAGGACAAGGAAATAATCCCAAGAGGTGCAGAAAAATCAGTAAAAAAATCAACTCCTTGATCTACAAGCCACAAACCTAGTGAATCCTGGTTTCCTATAGATTGCATTTTTATATCACCATCTCACTGCATCTCACTTGGGCTCATTCTATAATCCCCCTCACCCTTTCCCAGTTCCTCCCCATGCTTCCACACTTCTTACTTTCCACAGGATTCTCCATATTTCCACCCACATTCACCACCTGTTTTGGCCAGGGGAGACAGAGCAGATGCTGTAGATTCTGGTTTCAGAATCTACCCTGGTAGATTTTATTGTGTTCCTTACCTAGAACAACTGTGATCTTGGCAGAAAATTCTCAAAAATCAGAGCAAAGTGTGGCACTTGGAGGACAGGTTTCTGACATGAGGCTTAGTAGGACTAAACAGCAGAGCTGGATTCTCAGATGCAGCCAATGTCCATTAGGATACTCCTTTACACACCCCAATCCCAGCCCTGGCTTGCCCTCCCTTTAGCCTCAGGCACAACTCTGAGCCACCTCAGAACAACACAGAATGTGACACCTGCAAGAATGCAGAGTGTGGCAACATTGCTCACCAGGGTGATTTTTTTTCCTAGACAAAAGTCTTAACTTGTCCCCTATCTGGCTGAGGAAGATTTATCTGGCTTGAAGAACCAGTCCCATAGAAACAGTTTTAACTAAGGGGTAGTCAAATAGGAATACACTATCCTCCCACAGGGACAGGAGGAGAGGAACAGGGCTGGAGGGAAGGAGTTCATGGATCTTTATAATCCCCTCCCTGCATTAGCACGTGGTTGTATCATATAACCAATAGTACCGGGGGTTGCACAGTCCTGCATTTGTGCTCTGGCTCCCCAGATCTGCAGGCCACAAGCACTAAGGGATCTTGCTTCAGAGGGACCTGGACAAGCTGGATCCATGGGCTGATTCCAAGGGGATGAGGTTCAACCAGGCCAAGGGCCGGGTCCTGCACTTTGGCCACAACAAGCCCCGGCAGCCCCACGGGCTGGGACAGAGTGGCTGGAGAGCAGCCAGGCAGGAAGGGAGCTGGGAGTGTGGGTTGACAGGAAGCTGAACAGGAGCCAGAGTGTGCCCAGGTGGCCAAGAGGGGCAATGGATCCTGGCCTGGCTCAGGAACAGTGTGGCAGCAGGAGCAGGGCAGTTATTCTTCCCCTGGACTCAGCGCCGGTGAGGCCACACCTCGAGTGCTGTGTCCAGGTCTGGACCCCTCAGTTCAGGAAGGACATGAAGGGGCTGGAGCAGGTCCAGAGAAGAGCAACAAGGCTGGGGAAGGGACTGGAGCACAAGTGCTGTGAGAAGAGGCTGAGGGAGCTGGGGGGGGCTCAGCCTGGAGAAGAGGAGGCTCAGGGGAGACCTCCTCACTCTCTGCAACTCCCTGACAGGAGGGGGGAGCCAGATGGGGGTTGGTCTCTTCTCCCAGGAACCAGTAGTAGGACAAGAGGGCACAGTCTTGAGCTGTGCCAGGAGAGGTTTAGGTTGAATATTAGGAAAAAATTTTTTACAGAGAGAGTGATCAGACCTTGGAATGGGCTGCCCAGGGAGGGGGTGGATTCACCGTCCCTGGAGGTGTTTAAGATGAGACTGGATGTGGCATCAATGCCATGGGCTGGGAACCATGGCGGGGTTGGATCAAGGGTTGGACTTGTTGGATCAAGGGTTGGACTTGATGATCTCGGAAGTCTTTTCCAACCTAACTGATTCTATGATTCTATGATTATTTAGCACTGATATAGAAAAGAATCAAGAAAAATGAAATTAAGCCACGAAGAGGAAAACATAACCTGAATGTTGGGCACTGTGGCAGAAGAGCCTCTAGAAATCCCTGAGGAAGCAGTGCCATAGCCCAGAAGAGCTGCCAAGAGTGGCCAACAAGCAGGGACAAGGGCGGCCCAAGGTGGGGAAGGCCAAGGGGAAAGGCTGTGATTCCAGGGGGGCACGGCTGGATGAGGTGATCTGGAGGGAAGAAGTTTTGATCAGAGGCTGTTTGTAGGCCGGGCCTATCCCGGTGTGTCCGGGGCTGTCCCGCTGCAGGTGCCCCAGGTGTGTCCGCTCCTGCCCCAGTTGTCTCCTCGCCTGCCCCAGGTGTGTCCACTCCTGCCTCAGGTGTGTCCTCACCTGCCCCAGGTGTGTCCGTTCCTGCCCCACGTGTCTCCTCACCTGCCCCAGGTGTGTCCGCTCCTGCCCCAGGTGTTTCCTCACCTGCCCGGCGGCTCCTGAGCACAAAGCGCCCTCCGGCGCCGGGAGCGCGCCCTGCAGGACAACAGGGATTCGCTGTCCCCATCCCTGCCTGTTCCCTGCCGGAATTAATTACAGTTATACAGGAATATTAACAGCTAATACGGGAAATATCCCTCCGGGGGGCTGCTGCCACATTTATGGCTGACCATAAATTCTTATTCATTCTTCGTGTCAATCACACTATTTAATAAAATGTTTTTAGGGATGAGATTCTGTCTTTTTGTCCAGGTGCTCTGAAATCAGCAAAATCAGCGGCACAGCCATCAATTTATCTTTGAGGTTGGACAAAGGCTTATGCCTTCCTCTCCAGGTAAGGAAATTAGCCAGGAAGGTTTTAAAATCATTTTTCCCTTCACAAAATGCTAACTTTTTACAAGAAGGGCTTTTAGAAACACACAGTCATTTACCAGCTGGTGGAGCTCAGCAAACAGCAGGAAGATTTGTCCACAAGCATTCTCTGAATTGGAAGCGAATTGTGACTCAGCCACCTTTATTAACCTTCTGCTTTAATTTTCACAACAGCTTATGTGTTTGGGATCTTATTTCCTCCCCCCCTGCTGGCAGAAAGCATTACAAATGCACTGAGTTCAGTGTGGAGTTGCTACCACCTCCAGCTGTTGAAGTTCTATGGAACGGGTCTCCTCAGCACAAATCCAGAGCAGATGCAAAAGTCTGACCTTCTAGAACAGCTACAACAGATGTGCAACCAGTTATCAACTGTTGAAATTAGTTAAAGCATTAACCCACATCTCTCGTGACACCAAATATGAATTATAAACTGATAATTCTGATAAACAGCCCACTGACCTCCAGTGGGAACCTGCCCATTGAGTCCAGCAAGCCTTGAATGAGGCCAACATGTAAAACATCACAATATCTTTCAAATGCACTTGCAACAGGAATTCAATATTCAACACTGACATCTGTTCAAATTTCACAAATCATGGACTCAGCTAAAAGAAGTTTTAAAACCCCCAGATCTTCAAACTAAAATACATGTAGTGTTTCTTAATTTGTCACCTTTTTTTTTTTGGTTTTATTAAGACATAAGGATATTTTCACACTTTTCTTAGCACTTTGGGTGCTAAAACATACCTTAAAATTAAAACAGAAATTCTTAAATACTTAATCCAGAAACTGAGAAAAATACAAAATGCCTTCTGAAGAGTAATATTAAGTTGGTTATTTAATTTGGGAGCATGAATGTTTCTGTTAGAAATCACAATCAAAATTCTATATTTTCTAGAGTCAGAAAAAAATTATTCTTCTCATACAATCAAGAGAATTAAGAGCTGTCCAGTGTCCTAAGTACTGGAACAAACTATGAAAAGCATTATTCTAATGCTTTTTCAGGTTGCAGAAGCAGAGACAATGATAGGATCTAATCAAGCATTCGATTGCCAACATATCCTCTTAAAAACCTCTGCTTGGACTCTCTTTAGGCCATTCCTGTGCCAGTGATTTTTATGATTGTGAAACACTCACTCTGGTTTGGCTTAACCAAAGCAACTAAAGGTTTTACTGGGCCACAGCACTCTCACACAGGAAAAAACTGATGTGTAAGCTTAGCTCCAGGCATACAAGCAGTGCCATAGAAAGAGTTGGAATTTAAGCACATACTTTATATTAAAAGCAAATGCTCAACTGTTTTGCTGGATCAAGAGCTGTAAGTCTTAGTGATGCCGTGGTTTCTATGACGACTAAGTATGATATTACATGAAGGATTATGACTTAAAGGAGCACTATTACATCTGGCCTTTTCAACTGACGTGCTCCCAGTTTATCCTGTACATACCTCGTGTACAAATCTGCTTGTCTTTGTGGAGCCACTGAGCCCAGGACCAGGTGGAATGCAAGTGAAGAACACTGCTCCACTCTCTATACCTGCAGATTTCAAGGAGAAAAACTAAATTCAGACTCAGGGTTGCACTACCCTTTCAGGCACATCTGCAGCCCAGGAGCCTGCTGGTACCTGAGAGGGAATGCAGCAGCAAGGCAAGAAAACAAATGCCAGGTAGAAAGTAAAGTAGCAGTGAAGCCACACTCCCTCTCTGCAGAGCCCTCTCAGCCCTGGCACAGTTCCCTGCACCCACAACCTGTCCTATGGGGTTGGCTCCACATCCTGTTGAAGATTGGAGCACTTGTGGAATTGCTAATTAAACTCTGGTTCAAGCAGGTGTCACCTCCACAGGCTCCTTTCCCATCCCAGCAGTGAGCTCTGCTGGTTCCCTGCTCCTCTCAGACCTGAACTCTGCAGAAACTCCACTCCACCCTTGCTTTCTCATTAACTCATTCTCCATTTGGCTCAGCTGGGAACATGTTTGAGCTCCTGGAGATACACTCCAGCCAGCTCCATGGTCCTCAGTGATCTCTGCAAACAGGTATTTTCTTCCCTTGGGAGCAGGTGCCAAAAGCAATTCCATAAGGCTCAGTACTAAAAGCTAGCCCACACTAGCTAGTTTGGAACAGGGTAGGAAATACCCAAGAAAAAGTAAACTCTCACTGTCCAGGGTGTAAGAAGAGCATTCTGCTTTTTAACTGAGAACGATTACAAACCCACCCCTGCAGCCCTCCAGCAGCCAGAAGGCTGCAGCACATTCTCAGCTGCTCCTGTGCTGTTGCCCACATTCATCTCTGCTGGTTGCAGCCATTTTGGGTAGGAATCTCTTCTTCTCTGTCTCCCTGCCTCATTTTCAGAGAGCAGCCTGGCTCTGGGCTGCTGTGCATTCAGGACACACTGATTCACCTGCTACTTTTACAGGCAAATGAGAGCCAGTGTTGGAAATGTGTTCAATGGCCCTTTTAAGTACAGGGCTGGCTTTGCAGCAAACAGCTCCCTTTAGATTAGGATAAATGCTTTGCCAGGGAGATTAGTGCCACTGCACTTGTGAAGTCATGATATTCCCTACAAATAAAATCAGTGACTATAAATAGCCAGAACATCTTCCATTCTATGAGATTATGAGTTTCTTGCTTACAAAACAGATGAGCTCATTGAGAGATAATTTTGTGATAGCCAGATAGCTTCAACATAAGATTGAGCCCATCATCATTAGTACAATTAAAGCTCCTTTTTATACCAGTAAAATAATTGATGTGCTGATAAACTGCCTCAGTTCATTGTTACTGCAACATCCACAGCTGCTCTGAACACATCCATGTAATCAATATGGCCCACTAAAAGGTTTCTAAATGAGTTAACTCTTCCAGGAATCAGCCAGATTTCTGAGGGACTATCATGCTTTTTGTTCTGTGGTTTTTTTTTATTTACAGAGGCATTAAGTCCAATCACGAGCCGATCACACACACTCGAGCAGAGCATAATATGAATGTCTCATGCTATTATTGTAATGGAAGTGGAGCAAGGGAACCTGGCCTGGAGGCTACTTTTCCCATATTAAAAAAATACCTACCCAAACCTGCATCAGTGTGACAGAACTGGGTTAGGCAGTGACTGTATGTGTGGTTCCATTGGCAGAGCACAGCGTGCCGTGAGGGACAGGAGAATGGCAGCCAAAGACAGTGAGCTCCAACTCCAATTCAGCAGCAGCCAGAACCAGCATCTCCCAGAATAGCCCCAGAAACGTGATCAGAAGGGCCTGTTTTGCCACCATGCCATGCTGCAGGGCAGCATTTCACACAGACTGGGGCTCCAGTGCCCCTGTCCCTCTGTGGTGCCACTGTCCCCCCTCACTGTGCTGCAGGTACAGACAACAGCTCCCAGGGCAGCTGAGAACTGAATTCCTGTGTAAAGGGTGTGGCTGTAGGTACAGTCATCAGGTTCCTGCCCTGGCTTTCTGGGATAGGTTAGAAACATTCTCAGGAGCCACAGAAAATCTCTCTAAATGCCCAGCTTTACTGCAGAAGAAGAAACAAATCTCTCAGGTCAGCCTCTCCCTGCCCTGCTTCAAGGGAAGACAAACCTGCACACAGTTGTCAGGGGGTTTGGAGCTTTTGGTGTTGGCTGCAATTAAAAACCCCAACTAAAACTGCAAAGCTTTGTTAACCTTCTATGAGGCAAATGTTTGAACTTCAGACTTCCTCATCCACAAACCTCCTTTCTGAATCAAATACCTCCATTTCATGTACTTGCCACATTCTGGAGATAAATGTTTTTTAGCAGCTGCAGGAGCACTCACTCCTTCCTGATGCCTGCAGCATTCCATGAGAACTCCACAGTGTGAAATACAACTGCCCAGTCTCCTCTCAAAGTTCTCAGCAGGCAGCCACATACCCAGCAATAATGCTGGGTGCTGCACCTGCATTAGAGGAGCTACAAATAGATATCTTTTCCCACTTAAAAGTAGCCATCACGTCCATATGGACGATCATGGGGGCCAGGCACTGATTTCTTCTTGACCTAAACACAGCTTTACACCTGTTTGTTGCTGTCTGCTGCTGATAGAAATGCAAAATGGCCACTCTGCATTTCCCATGCTGAAACACAAGCCTTTAATGAGTTCGTTTTGAATTGTGCCTCAAAGACCAGGCAGAGATGGTAGTAGGATGTATAGCTTTAAATAACCTGTCAAAATCCTTTTAGGAAACAAAATAGCACACATTTTTGAGAGGTTTCCATCTGTCTGAATTTCTAATTTGTTTTTTTGCAGCTCACACAGCTCAGATGGGATTTAGCTGAGAATCCATACCCTGCAGCTGGGTTTCTGAAGTTTCCTTCACACCAGGATACCAGGATGGTACCTGCATAACCTAATTCTTAAGCTGCTGAACTGCAGCTCAGGCCTTCTGTCTCCTCTCTGCCTTCTTCAGATAAGGAGGGTGCTCCCAGACAGGCTGTTCCTGAACAGGCCCTGCAGCAGTTCCTCAGTGCCGGGTACAGCCTCAGGGGAGCAGCTGGTGACAGGGACACAGCACAGACTGTCTCTGGCTGATGGATGCCTCTGGCCACCTCAGCACTCCACCATTCCTGCAGGTCCTGGGAAAGCTCAAAGAGGCCCTGCAGCTCTCAGCTGGCCCAGGTGGTCAGCACCAGGTGGTGTTAGCTGGTTTGATTTTAAATCCCTTTGGAGGTTGTTTACAAAGGCTTTGTGGTCCATGAGAAGGACCACACCACTTTTAAGGGTGGTGTGGCCAGAGGCAGTGAATTCCTCCTTGCTTTGGTTGTAGAACTCTGCTTTACAGTTCCCATCCAGGGAAGTGAGCCAAAGACAGCTGCCTCTTCCAAATAAAGGCTTTGTGGAGGCTGCATCACCCTCTGATGTTTTGAAATTTCCAGTGGACCACATCAGTCATTGAGAAGTGAGAAGTGGCATCTGAACTCAACCTTTCACCAAGAAGTAGAACATCATCTGTGGCTGGGAGACCATCTCGTTTCAAAAATCCCACATCTGTCAGAATCCTTTTGGCTCCTATTAAAACATATATTGACTAAAAATAATTGCTTGTTTCCTGTTGTTTCAATTAGTTTGCTCTGGGTGCCTGGCAGCATTTTGCAGAATTCCACTGTTTCCCCAAGGCTGTCAGTCAGTTTTCCATGTTGTTTGTGTGGGCTTTTCACACACAACACAGAAGAGGAAAACATTAAAAAAAAAGGGGGGGGGAAGAAATGTGATTATAATCCAATTAAAGCAGCCAGCAGGGGGGTGTGCAGTACCAAGAACTTTTTTAAAAAGTGAATGCATTTCAAATTTACTATCCCTATTTAGCTGCAGAAAACAGTCTCTTTCTGTAACAAAAGTTAAGAGCACAAGTTGTCAGCCCATCACCATCTCTGGCAATTTCAAAATCAGCTGAAGAAACACAGTTTCATCTCTATTGATTAAATGATGTATGGCTACATTGGTTAAATGAGCCAAGAAGTCAGTGATCAACATAACTTCTGCCTAGTACTTACAATTTCAGAAACAGAAAAGTGTTAGTCTTTTTAGGATGGAAAAAAAATATGTAGTTATCAAAACAGGAAAGCCAGAACTTCTGGATTTTTTTCCCCAGTAATTGATAACTAGTTCTATTATTTACAGAGCCTTAATTTTACTTCTGTTGGTTTAATCAGTTGTGAGCTTCAGCCCCCAAAAGGTAAGATCTGCACCCATCCAAAGAGGGGCATTTCTTTCAGCTTCTGTGTCCCAGCAGCTCGAGATGCTCCTCTGGACACCAGTCTAAGCTGAGGGGCTGCACCCAGAGCTGAGGCACAGGAAGCTCCCCAGCACCTCATGTGAGCAGTGATAGAGAAGTTACCACATTAAACTCCTCAGTGCTGATATTTGTCACCACTTACAGAAGAGCTGCTTCAGGAAAGACCACCCAGCACATGCAGAGCTTCTATCTAGATGGGGATGGAGCTCGTAGTGTTTCCTGTGACTTTTATATCTGAGAGCAGACCTGATGTTTGATACACACAGCTTTATTCACACACTCATAGGCAAGTGCCATCCACATCACGTGTCTGCTGTTCTTCATAAGCCAGGGGAAAGCAACAGGAACAAGAGGGAAAGAGGATGGTAATACCTTCACCAAAGAGGGACACTTTATCACCTGGATTCACCTTCTGTGGGCAGCAGCCCAGGGAAGGGTTAGGAGGAGGATCTCGAAGTCAGGTCTAGTTAATCCCAGAGAGCTGACCAGAAGATGGCGAGAGAGGAACAGTTTTCAAAGCACACGAGGCGCTGTGACCCGTTCCCTGCAGCCATCGGCCACCGGCAGAGTGTCCCAGCCCCTCGCAGCTCCCGCGGGGCCGGGGGGGGCCCTGGGAGAGGGGACGTGCCTGTCCCATCCAACGGGAGTCATGGACGGATGGACATTTAGCTGGTTAGTCAAAGGGATATTTTTGTTCTCCAAATCCAGTTTGCTCTGGTAAACTGATGTGTTCCAAAAACCTGTAAAAATTGAGAACAAAAAGGAAATAACATCTGCCAATCTTTTGGGGCAGGAGGGGAGACAGTAATTCTTAATATTCTTAAGATCTCACAGTTGGTCCTTAGAAGGCTGTGCAAACACTACAATCTTTGGCAGGTATTCCCACACAAGAAGCCATTGACAATAAGGTAAACCTATTTAAATCACTACAACTACTATGGGTCAGTATTCACCCAGAGGAGATAAAAAACCTGGACCTTCAAAGGTAATTCCTTATGTGTTGCCATGGTTATTTTCTTCTCCTACCAAGCTGAATGTGCTAGTTCAGATAATACATCCTGAATTAAACTGAACTCTTAAGTTCAAGCAAAGAGTACTATTTCTAGACAACTGTTCCTATTAATTTAGGTCACACTGATTTTCCTATTCAACATCTTGGAGAAAACCACATGGTATTTCCAGTATGGGATTAAAAGTTTCTGATAATTTCACTCTACTTGAAAATCTACAGCATGCTTTATGTTCTGAAAAAGTATCTAGAAATCTATTTTTCTGAGGTTCATACAGCCTTCACCTGTTTGCCAATATTTGCTTCGGTTCAAAGTGAAGTCGAGCAGGGAATTAACTCTGTGATAACCAGACAGGGTTGTGATGGAGTTTTACCATCTGAGTGCAGCACAGGACAGCCTGATGTACACCTTCCAGAACAGCCATTGGCAGTGGTTACAATTTAGTGCTGTAAAAGGAAAATATGTTCATGTTGATGTTCCAAAGCGAATCTATTCCATTTTATTAAACTGCCATGTTTTTACAGGGGAAAAACTTAGTTTGGAGAAGCAGTTCTTTCCCCTTTTAATATTCCATTTATTTCACTTTTCCCAACCCATTTTCAACTAGAATACTGGAAACTGTTCAAATCTGTCCTGATCAACCCTATGTTTCTATCTTACATATGCTAATAAATGCTCAAAATAAGAAGGGCTTTTTAGGATTCAGTGAGTTACCTAAAGTACACTTTGCTCTTTCTGGGCCCTTTATCCATCCCTAGAGATCCAAATGGCCTCAGTGTTTGTCCCAGCCCAGACTCCTGTACTCACCATCCCTCAGTTGTGCACATGAACTCCAGGGGCCACACAGGTGAAAGGGTCCCCAGTTCCGTGGAGGAACAAGTCCAACAACCACTGAAAGCTCCCTACTCTGCACTGGCTGCATGGGATCATTCTTAACCCATCTGACACTTTGGGATGATGCTTCCTGAGTGCATGTCCTGGCAAGTCCTGCTCTGACTGACTTTGCAAGGGTAGCTTTTGGGTCTCTTGGAAACTCGGCAGAGCCACTTCTCCTCAGGAGGAGATTCTGTGGCACGTCAGGCAGTGTCACAGACGGTGTTTTCCTCTGCACATCCGATGTTGGCTCTGGTATCTGGGATCCATCTGCCACTCTCACAGCAAAGGCAACTGCTTGGCAGGCTGCTACAATGCTCTTCACATTGCCTTGATCTTAGTCTTTGGCATTCCTGATTTAGCTGTCGATTGACTGGGGCTTCTTTTGCAGAACATGGTAAGAAACGTTGGGAAAACCCCCCGCCAGTGACATAACTACCTACCATTTCAAGTGGGTTTTGTCAACTCTGCCTTACTAAACAGCCTGCAAATATCTCCAGTTCCCTCCACAGGGAAACTCTTGTAACACGTGTGTTGGTAGAGCAGGACCCCTGAATGACAGAGGTGGAGATGGGAGACTCATGCTGAAGACTTTTCAGCCATACGCCACCAAAGAGTTAAAAAAGAACCTCTCTGAACACACAAGGTGGGTAACCAGTGGGAGAAAAAAGCACATGATCAGCTCTAAGCTGCAGAGAAGGAACAAAGACCAAGAGGAAAGATTGAACATAATCTCCAGGTCGGTTCTGTGGGGAAGATCAAAACTCCACCCATATCAGCAGGCACCTGGGCACCTTTAAAACACAGGCTCAGAGCCTTTCAATGGCTCATCTCCATCAACCTGTGGTTCTTCTTGGCTAGTTTTTAGTCATCAGGTTTTTCACAGCTCTGCTGTTGCTGCTCAGTGGTTAACATTGATCCTTCACAGCCACCAGCCATCCCCTGCCACCCTCTCCTGGCACTCTCCCCAATAAACCTTGGAAGTGTTGGAAGGCAGGAGTGGGAGACAATCCTGTGGTGTTTTCTGCTGCCTGCAGGGACAAGGCAGCAGGGCCAGAGTTCTGTGGTGTGCCAGGCTCACTCAGGCACGTGGCTTGTCCCAGGGTGACAGCTGCCTGTGCCTCCACTGGGTTCTGCCCTTTGACAGCTCCTCTTCCCTAAGTTCGCACAGAGAAACAGTTGGCTGGGAGGCAGATATGAATATTTGACCAGGGGAGCAAACACTGAGGCAGCTGAATAGCACCTGCCCATGAGAAGTTCAGGAAAAGAGAAGTACAGAGGCATCCTCCAGCAGAGAAAACACATATTTCAGCAACCTGAGAACTAATACAACCTACTGAGGCTGCAGTGAAAATTCTCTAGTATAGCTGATAATCTCTTCAGCTTATTTGAGTGGGAAAGCCTTAAATTTCCTGATAAGCAGAGGGTGATTTCAACTCCACCTATTCCCTGCACAGCATCTCTTTGCCACAAGAGTGCATCCTTGCAGCTTGAACCGGGCACATCCCCTCTTACTGCAGCATCAAGGTAACAATACCTTAAATCCTGAGTTGTCTTGTACCAGCTGCTTTTAGCACAGGTTCTGATAAGTAGTTATTTTCAAATGCTTAGTTTGATGTAAGATCTGGTTTATAGCATCCCAAATCAATGGGATGGTAACAAAATGCCTTTTAACTAGATTTAAGATAGCCATTGTGTATTAGGACACTTACAAAATACTGCTAGAAAAACAGTATGCAAAGCCATATTGTATTTCTTTCTGGCCAGCTTTCTTTGGTTTCCTTGCTACACTACCCTTTTCCCTATAATGCTGACAAGAAAGGAATAACCGCCCTAGTAGTTTAACCCACATTTCCTTACCAGGTACTGGCTACGTTTTTGTCAGCATTCAAAAAAGGTTTTTTTGTAAATTAAACTTCTCAGCAGATGATCCCCAAGAATGTCTCTAGGAGTGGGAATGTAGGGGAATAGAAATAACACAATACCTGAAGTGTACATTTGATATTACACAAAGTCTCATAAAACCAAGACTTTGAGACTTGGGTGTAAACTGGGCAAAGGGAAAGCTGATGGAAACAGAAGTCTCCTTGGGTTCCCCTTTCTTAAAGGAGCTTTTTTCCCTCTTTTTGTGGATTTTGACTTTCCCAGCTGGGCTTGTTTTGTCCTGTGCTTGCCCTGCATAGCTGGGTACAGAGTTGGGAACCTGAAGAGAGTGTTGATCCCAGTGTTTCCTACTTTGGTCCAGGAACATTCCTGCTGAGACCCTATGAATTAACAGGAGCTGATCTCAGACAGGCCATTTCATTGCCACAGGGATCTTTCTGGAACTTCACTGCTGCCTTCCCAGAAACTACTCCCTCTGGGAGTAATCTTGTACTTTAT